AGGTGCGTCGGGGCTCCGCGTAGGGTGGCTTTACTCTTTCTTTTTTACCAGCCGTGGTTTTGATAAGGAGAACCCCCCGGCTGTTGTTCCGAGCAGCGTCGGAGCGCGTTTTGCCGCGGAGCGGGGGATGTTCACGTCGAGCCTTCCGCCGTCGCGGTCGGAATTGGGGGGCAAGGCGGGCGCTCCAGCACGGCGGCAAAGCCTTGTGTCAGGTTGCATCCCTGGGTGAAGTTCTCCCCGGTTCTACAGGGAGACTGAATCTCTGAGGTTTCAGTCAGGGCTGAGGATCATCGGCCTTGTCACAGGTGACCTTTTTTGCCCAAGATCTTAAAGTGTTTTGCAATGACAGGTACTGTTGTGGTCTTTGCTGTGCGGTTTAGAGAAATCTCGGAGATGAAGTGTCCGGTGGCTTGGTCAAGGTCGTGCAGCAGAGCTGCGAGCAGAGATAATTCCCATGTGGCCTGTTAAAAGTGTATTGCCAGAAATTCTGGCATCCTTCTTCTAACCCCACGCTTTGCCGAATGTTTATGTATGAGCTGAGGCCGCTTAAACAAGGAGCACTGGAGAACTTCTGAGTACGGATTAATTGAGCAGAATGGGCAAGGTACAAGTGCTTAGAGGTTTTTAAGCAACTGCAGCTGAGTAATTGAAACCTTTCTGGAGCTGGAGGGCTTGAGGAAAGATCAGCTGTCTGCAGGCGCTATCAGCGAGTGCTCGTGGCTTTTAAATACATCCTACAAAAACTAGTTCACTCGAGTCGAGGCAAATACAGTGAATATCAGCCATTGCAGCTGAAAGGGAAAGAAAGAATAAGGAAGCTTGTGAGGCAGGTACTTTGGGTTGTTAAGTACCTTTTGCAGTGTTGCAGTGCCAGGGTGAAACGAACAGCCAGAGCTAGAAAGCTGAAGGTAGGTTTCGCACAAACAGTGCCAAATGTGTCAGTGGTCTTACTGCAATGTTTAAAGCGGGAACGTAGCATCAGTTATCATGACTTTTCAAAAAATAAAGGGGGGGGGGGGGGG